TGAAGTTATCAGAAAAAAGTGATGGGGAGATATGTGAGGAGTTTGAGGGGAGGGAGTGGGCATGGATTTGATCAAAACACCTTCTATGTTTATTTGCCTTTATGAAATTCTCAATAAATTATTTTTTAAAGAAAGAATAGATTAAGGTATGTGATAATTAAAAAAAAAGTACTTGATCTTTTGATTTGGAGCCCAGGGGAGATGATGTGCAGCTAAATTAAACACATTTGGAAGAGTCCTCAGGACCAAGATGTAGCTCAGTGACAGGGTACCTGCCGGGCATGTGTGAGGCCCTGGCCTCCATTCCTAGTGCTGCAGTAAATAAAAGGGAAAGGGGAAAGAGGAGGAAGAAGATGGAGAGGAGGAAGAGGAAGAGGAAAAGGAGGGAGAGAAGGAAGAAGAGGAGGAGGAAGAAAAAGAAAAGGAAAGGAAATGGTTTCCTAAAGACTAGAAATTATTTCTTTAATTTCTAGGATTTTTACCAGGTTTTACATCTGGTATGATAAAGACTGACATACCCATCTTTTAGGCAGGAGGTCTATCCTGGTTCCCAAATAGCACTTTTACACTGTTATTTTCTTCCTTCAGAGTCTAACATGTCTCCTCTGGGTATCTGTAATTTATGGCATATGAATAAAAAGCACAAGGATTTGTTCCCATCAACAGGGATCCTTCCCTCCAGGAGTGAGGTTGCCATTTCCTGCCTCCCACCTTCATAGTGAGTCAACAACTTTCAACACTCAACTTCCCAATGGCCCTGAAGAGAGTGATAATAGTACTTGACATGTAAAACACTTAATGGCTTTAAAATTATCTCACATATGGTGTCTTTCTGGACCCTCCCAGCAAACTTCTGTGTTGTAGGGTGGAAGGAATGAATGCTGTTATTTCCGTTCCATAGAAACAGGCTGTTTCTTTGAGCAATTCACTCAAGATTTTATAACTAGTGAATTGCAATAGGGATTTGAATGCAGGTCTCTGTAACCTCAAATCCTGGGCTTGTCCCTGTTGATCGTGGCATCTCTTAGGGTTTACAAGCACAGGCACCTCCCCTTCAAACTCCTTGCCATTCTCTTTGCTGCTCCATCATGGTGGGGGGTGGGTCCTTTCTTCTCAGACTACTGGAGTCATGCTGGTCTCTGCTCACCTGGCTGAACTCACCCTCCTGCTCACCTGGCTTTGCCTCTGTTGCTGCTTCCTCTAGGTCACTCTGTTTCCAGTGCCCTTCCCCTCAGAGAGCCAGACACTACCTTGCTACTCCAATCCCCTTAGACTCTTGTTCTCTTAACTTATTCTCTGATTTTGTTCTGTCTTGTACTAATGTTGAAAGTCTCTGGAATTAATTTTGTCCCTTAAATAAATGGAAATTATTTGTATAGAAGGATAACATGTTATGCTTCTGTGTAAGGAGACTTATCAGGGGACAGTTGTACCATTTTTGAGGACCCAGTTGTGAGATACCCAATGTGGGTGCTAGGAACTGAACTTGGGTCTTCGGGGCTCTTGGGTGGGCCTAACCAGAAGGTCTTGGGTAATTCTGATCCCAGACCAGAACAGCATACATTAGAAGGTGGGTGAGCAGGGAGGAGGCTGTGGTTCTACTAGTGAGAGGGATGGGTGATCAAAGCAATGGAGATTTGGAGAATTCATGTAAATGTTACCTCATTTGTATCTTCATCCTCTGAAAGAGGAAGACAAGTCCTACTTCTCTACTCCTTAGCTCTGCCTGGAGATGTTCATGATCATGATGCCTGGGTCTCTGAGCTCTTCAGGTCAGAGAGATGGGCCAGTGAACCACTGACTGAATGAAATGGCTGTTGTTCTGGGGATAGCCACGTGGTCAGAAATATGAAGGAAGAGGGCCTTGCACAGACATGGTCTCCTCATTGCTCCCTTCTCTCTAAGCGCTTGCCTCCCTCTTTTAAATAGTGGGTTAGGGTCAGTGAGATGGCTTGTGGGTAAGACTGCTTGCCAACCAAGCCTGATGACATGTTAGACCCCAGAAGTCATGTAAAAAAGACAGACAAGGTGGCATGCATCCACAATTCCTTCCAGCATACCTACCGTGAGATGTAAGGCAGAGGCAGGAAAATCACATGCAAAGAAGCTCATGGCCGGCTAGCCTGAAGTGCAAAGCAGGCAGAAACAAGTGAGACACTGCCTCAGTACGGTGGAGGAAGTGAACTGACTCCAGAAAGTTGTCATTTGACCTCCACATGTGGGACATGGCACATGTAAGACATACACACAGAAGACATACACACACACACGCACCCCCCCCACACACAGACACACACAAATGAACATGGAGGTCAGCTCAAGATGAGACTGAGCCAAAATATGATGTCTCAGTATGTCCATTGTCCCATGTTCTGAAATAATCAAGTAGACGGCTTATAAGAAGAGATCAGTGCGTGATAACTAGAATTTCTGAACCAAAGTCTGTTCTCTCCCATGTCCTGTTCTGACTGTAGGAGACTGGCAGAACAGTGGCAGAGGTCCCTAGTGTACTCTCTGCTCATGTGTCTCAAATCTCCATCTCCTGCCTTCCAAAAACAGACTTTATTTGTGGGAAACAAAGCTAATAGCATCCAAAATTCCTGTTTGTCCCTTAAGACCTCTATTCATCCTCCTGATGGATAGTGATACCTCTTTCTGAATAGTTTTTCTACTCTCTCAGACACTGGTCCAGGAAGCCACAAGGGCATTCGGATGCTCAAGCAGCAAGTCTTGTTTTTGCCTCATCTGTATTCTTTCCACTGAGTTCTTACACCCCGTGCGACACACTGGGCTTGCAGAGTCCCCGTTCCTCTGAACGCCCTTCTCATTTTTCTCCCTAGGCATGTCTCCGTTCTTCATAAAGCCTTTTCTGACCCTGATTCCAGTAAAGTATACATCTCTCTCACTTTATATACCCAGTGGTCCTGGGCCCCCTCTAGTTATTATGTAAATATGTTACTAGGGCTCTAAGCTAGAAGTCAGGGGACATGGAGGAGTCCTACTCTTTACTGTGCAACTAACCAGCAATTGAATTAACTTCCGTATGCCTAAATTCCTCCTCTGACAAATGGGATTGGGAACAGTAGTCTCAGGATTGAAAGGAAGCTAGAGAGAGAATCAGATCATCTAAACATTGCTTGTGATTTTGATAACATCTTTGGTGAGGTTAGAGTTACTCTTGTGGCTCTGTTCTGCTTAAGAAACAGAGAAGGAAGTGGGGAGCCAGCAAGTGCCAAAGAAAACAAGGTGTCAACCATCTAGAGTCACAACTGGAAAAATACAGGCAGCTTTAAGGCAGGCTCAGCCTCTGTAGCAAATGCCATTGCCCACACAGACACTGGAGTGTCTATGCAGACATAGAATAGACAATGCTTCTGTGTTGGGGGTCTGTGATGGGTGTGCACATGCATCTAAGGATGTGTGTAAGTGTTCCTGTGTGTATATCAGTCTGTACAGAAGGCATGTATGGTGTGCAAACATGTAGAGGCATGCACATTAGATAATCATGGAGGCATGCACATGCATTTTTGTACACATGTATGTGTGAGGATTTCTATACATCCTTTTCACATGAAATTGATTTCAGGATAGATGCGAATTGTTTTCATTACAAACTCTAGAATTAAGAAGCGGCCTTTGGTATTATTTTTCTTTAATATTCTCTGCTTATCCTTAATGGAGCTTTTGTGGTCCTGCTCCCACTGAAACACCAGTTAGCTCGTCTCCTTCCACAGTCCTGGGTGAAAAAGAAGTATGCCTAATATAATCTACTAGAAATTCTTAGACTACGCTGTACACACCATTGTTTGTTTTATTCTGTTTGCTTCCAAATTTTAGAGTTGAGAGAATAGCTGCCTTGAAAGGGGATGAACTTATATTATCTTGTCTTGTTCGACAAGACAACCAACTAGTTTTTGTGCAAATTAAAAAAAAAAGGAAAAAAGATAGAAGAAGCTAGACTAATTCAGATTTCACCTAGCATCCAGCCCCTGAATCCAGTACAGTACCAGTCGCAGATAGGAGCAGAAGCACTGTGGCTGGACCTGGGTTCCAGTTCCCCACTCTGACACCTAAGAGCATAGCTCATCTAAAAAGATGATCTTCCTCTGTTCTGTTGTTATTTTGTTTTATTCTTTTTTTTGAAACAGGACTGGCCTTGAGCTTTATGTAGTGGAAGACCACTTTGGACTCAGCTGCTCCTGCCTCCACCTTCCAAATGGAATACAGGAACGCACCATCCCTCTGGTCCATCTTCTCTCCCAACTGCTGGATTACAGGCATGACCTCCCACACCTGGCTCTATCTTCATCTTTAGAACGTACATAACAGTAACAGATAACCGCAAAGGAGAATTGTTGGGAAGAGTAAGTAGGTAACCGTGCAATGTGCTCTCCATGCCCATGCTAACGTGATCACCATTGATATTAAGCAAACATGCCTTTTCCTGTGTTTGAGTCCCAACTTAAGGAAAAGAGGTCTGGGGCTAGTGAAGGTCACTTTGCCTTTCTCTACTTAAACAGCGATGGAGCTCAAGCAGGCTGTGCTTCTTGTCCTCCTTCCTGGATCCCAAAGTGATAGTTGGACAAGTAGTACCACCTGTCATTCTCCTCACTGTCCCTATCCTCCAGAACACCACCTCAGCTCTGATATTTTTCTCCCTCCAAACTTCTGGACATTACTACTATTTCCTTGCTCAGCACAACACACAGGTAGAAAAAAAGTGTTGCACATCCTCAAGAACCTTATTTTCCTCGTCACAAACATGAAAGAGTTCATTCTTCCTTCTTCATCCACAGGGAAAGAAGTCAGTTTTTCTGAATTCCATGAAAAGAGAAGGGCCATGTGTGGTTTCTGAAACATCCCTTTGGGATAAAGTTGCATATGAAATGCAGGCGGCTTAGCTAGATTTGTACATTTTTGCTTGCTAATTGCAGCAACCTGCACCAGGGCCCCCAGCAGCACTTTGATCACTGGTTGCTGACTAGGTCATAGCCACCCACCTGTGAACCGCGGCACCACACACGCTGGAGTAAGATGCGTAGACACCTGTACCGTAAACGTGGTATTTGGGGTCTTGGCATCCTGCTGGACATTTCACCATGAACTCAGGATTGATGATTTTTCCAGCTTTGACATCACAGTTGATCCGAGGCACAGCTGGGAATACAAAATGAGTCAAAATTACCCCCTGTGGTGTCAGCTTATATATGAAGTGACTCTGTGAGGTTATATGTATTCATTTACTCAATCTTTAAAGGTCTGTGCTGGCCCTGTATGATGTAATGATTCTGTAATGGTAAAGGTAAAGTTATAACTAGGACATTTCTCAGACCCAAAGAACCATGATCATCTATTGCATTTAACATGCTAAAAAAAACCAAAATCCAAAACACCAAAAAAACAAAACAAAACAACGACAAAAAAACCAAACAAAAAACAAAATAAAGGCTGATTCCTGTGCTCATTTAGACAATTCATTAATTTAAAATAATTCTGGGAAAAGATCCACTTCCAGTGACCAGAAATGTAATCTTGAGTCACTGGTAGGTTTTTCATATGCTCTGTGACTAGTCCAGGATGAGAAAACTCGGATAACCTTACAGGAAGCAGGAAAGGCATTTCAGGAAAGTCAAACAAGGGGAGCATGGGTTGTAGGGCCAGAGATGACTAGTGACCTACTGGTTACAGTAGAGCCCGGTGAGAAGGAAGTGGGTTGCTGGGCTGGGCCAGGCTCTGGGGGATGGAGCCCTTGAGTTCTATGCATGATGTGGGCACACATGGAACGTCTTTGGACAGGGGAAGATACATTTGAAGTGACCTTTTTGGTTTGGTGCTAGAGGATCCTTCTGGCCTAGATGATTTTCCTTTTTGCCTCACACTTGGAAAGCTGGGAACTCCGTTGGAGCATCCGGGAGACACAGCTAGCTAGCTATTCATGCCTCTTTCCCATTCTCTTTGTCACAGCTATGGCAGGTTAGTCCTATGCAATAGGCAGGCCTTCTGGAGCTGAAAGCTTGCCTGGGGAGAAGATGGAGAACATTCTTTGCTGAGGCTCAGATGCTTCTTCCCTGTAAAGATTTTCCCTCATAATGGAAAGGTTCTCTGTTACAGCTTCTTAAACTGTAGGCAACCCCTTTGGGGGGAGGTCACGCAACTGAATATGGGGGGCACAAAATTTGGCAAGAAAGGTTTCTGAATGTACAATGACCAAAAATTAGTTCAAAGTCAAACATGTAACGCATCTGAGGTGTTTCTGGCAGCAGTTATCTGTTAGGTTATACAGCTTCACAAAGGCCTTCTTTCTGAACATATGAGTGCACTTTGCACTGTGCATCCTGCTGGTCAACACTAAAAACACTGTCTGAAACATCTTGGCTCTGTTTCAAGACTATTGCATGTCGTGAATTCCAGCGTTTTTACTGTATATACAAAGTCCTCTGTTCTTATAGAAACTTATGACTTTATTACAGAAAACAAAGACTTTTAATCTTTTATTTACTTACTTATTTTTTATTTTATGTGTATGAGTGTATTACCTGCATGTGTGTAAGTGTGTTCACGTTGTGCAGTACCCATGGGGGACAGAAGATGGTATTGGATCCCCTGGAACTGGAGTTACAGGCAGTTATTAACTGCCATGTGGGTGCTGGGATTTGAACTCTGGTTTTCTGCAAGAACAACCAGTGTCCTTAACTGCTGAGCCATCTCTCTGCTGAGCCCCCAGAAAACAAAGACTTTTAATATCTTCCCACCATCACTCCCCAGCATGTATTAAAATGGCATATGTTTAAGCTGTATCGTGTTGGAAAATTTGATTTTTAAAATTCTGTTTGAGTGGCTGGAGGGATGATTCAGTGGTTAGGAGCATTGGCTGCTCTTGCAGAGGACCCAGCAGCCACATGGAGGCTAAGAACCATCTGTAACTCCATTCCCAGTGGATCTAATGCTCTCTTATGGCCTCCATGGGAATTGCATGACACTAGTACAGTTAACACACACCCAGGCAAAACATTCAGTACACATCAAATAAATCAATTTTTAAAAAATTCTGTTTGAGGGAGTGGGGAGATGGCTCAGTGGGTAAGAGCACTTGCCATGCAAGCAAGAGAATCTAAGTTCAAATCTCCAGCACCCATGTAAAGGCTAAGCCTGGCTGAGTGTGCCTGTAACCCCAGCATTGGAGTAAGAGATAAACAGATCCATGGAGCTCACTAGCCAGCCAGCCTAGACCAAATATCAATCCTCAATTTCAGTAAGAGACCCTGTCTTGGCTGGGCGTGGTGGCACATGCCTTCAATCCCAGCACTTGGGTGGCAGAGGCAGGTGAATCTCTGTGAGTTCGAGGCCAGCCTGGTCTACCTAGTGAGTTCCAGGACAGCTAGGGCTACAGGGAGACCCTGTCTCAAAAAAAAAAAAAAAAGATTTTATTTTATTTCTGTGTGTATGCACATGTGTATTTGTAGGAATGTATGTGCATATGTGTGTGCAAGTACCCAAGGAGGCCAGGTGTCAGATCCCTTGGAGCTCGTGTCACAGGCTGTTGTGAGCCACCTGGTGTGGGTTCTAGATTTAGAACTCAGGTCCTCATGACTGAGCAATAAGTGTTTTTAACTGCTAAGCCATTTCTCCAGTCCCCTGTACTACATGTTTATGTGAGACAATGCTTTTTAGCATTGATTATTAAAAAATCAAAATGTTGGGATTGGAGATTTAGCTCAGTGGTAGAGCGCTTGCCTAGCAAGCCCAAGGCCCTGGGTTTGGTCCTCAGCTCCAAAAAAAAAAAAAAAAAGACAAAATAAAAAATCAAAATGTTGATCAGCTCTACGGAACGTTGAGGATGCTCTACAGTATCAAATATTTAGATAGGATTTAATTCTTTAAATGTAAAAATAAATAAACACAACCATCTTCTTAATATGCAAAATTTGTCTTTAATAAGTAGTAAAATGGTATGAACACCAAAGAACTATTCTAAAACAAAATGTGTATGATTATCAGTAGATAGATGATTTATATTATCTTATACACCTATATACCCAGGTGGTATGAAAATTTCTCCTGTAAAAAGGGTTCTGAGTGGAAGAAGTTTAAGCAGCCTTGCCCTAGATGGCAACGTAGCTGGGAATGTGTTCAGTCCTGGTTCTGCTATTTAGAAGGGGCTCTGGAACTTGAGCAGGCTGGCTGTTCACATGGAAGCTGGAGACCACTAAATGGGAGTCAGGGTTGGCAGAAAAGGGCCATTTAGCCATGAGAAGGCAAGACTTTGGAGGCAGTGATCCTTGACTCTACAAGTAGCACTGTTGTGAGCTGGGACACCAGAGGACTGAACTTAAAGGGTAAACTTTCCATAGAGGTAAATTTTGCCAGGAACTTTCTAGGAATTAATGCTGCTCTGGTAGGAACGGGCTGCTGCCTCATGAAGCCGTGAACAGGCCGTTGGTGGAAGTATGGAAGCAGAACAGTTGTAAGGGGATTTCTACGCTGGGTGGGAGGTGGAGATGAAACTCCTCCCGGTGCTAAGAGCCTGTGATTACACACAGAGATCCAGGAGCTTTGCCAGGCCACCCACCCTCTGAGCTAGGAGATGCTCTCAGAGTTGTTAAAAAAAAAAAAAAAAAAAAAAAAAAAAAAAAAATGCATGGTCTCTCTCTTTAACCCTAATGTACCCGAATGAGCAGTTACATCTCGTTCAACTGGAGAAGGAAGGAAGTTGGAAAGTTAGAACCCCCACTCTTTTTCTGCATACCCCTCCCACAAGCTTCGCCACTCAGGGCTGGGCCAGCGCAGCGCTCCTCCTGGGAGCCAGGGTTGAGCTTGATTGCAGGCTTAAGCAATTTGTGGTCTACATTAAGAAGGAGAGCACTGTGCTTAAAACATTTGGTTCCATTCTCCTCACCAAGGGTTGCCTCTTCACCAGAGTTATTTCCTTTTAACCTTTTGTTCTTTTAAACTGTGGTACTCAAGGCTGTATTTACTATTTTGGGTCTTTTAAAGTTTACATTTTTTTAAAAAGGCAATTTGGGACTGAAGATGCCAAAGTGGCCCCTCCTGAGATTGGCTGGTGGCTTGGTCCCTCGGTGTAACTGAGCATGCTCAACTCCCCTTTCCTCCACAGGTCTTTCGTCTGCCCCCAAATGTATCTGCTCCTTTAGATGTGAAGAAAACAACAGAACTTTGGTTTTTGGTTCTTTGAAATAGGAGATGACAAACCCTGGGAATTGGGCTGAAATCTTGATGACACTTCAGCACTCTGAAACTTTGGAACTTCTGGAAGGCTAACCAAATCTTTTGGAGTTGAATAAATAAAGCCAAATCTGGAAGCTTATTGCATGAGTATTCAGGGTGCGCACGGCACATGGTGTAGGATTTTCCATGAAATTGTTGGCTGAAAAGACAAACGGAAATTTCATGGGAATATTTCGCATCCTGCTAATCATTTTTTCCTCATGTCTTTGAAGGACATTTGTTTTTTATTTGCTTGTGTCTTTTTAAAAAAAAGCATAGGAAATATTTCAAATGCAATTTGTTGTCAGTACCCAACCAGATCAGCAAAGTTGGTGGATGAACTCATTAATCTGTCCCATGGGCTAAAACAAATGAAGTGCAGATGCGCATGTACTTTGGAAAAACAGGGAGCGATGGCAAAGTGTGACTAAAGGTCAAATAGTTGTTAAATTTGTACAGAAAATTAAGTGGGAGAGAGGGAACTAATTAAATTTTGCAGAGTAATTGCCAAGACCATCGGAAGGGTCCAGTCAGGAAAAAGCAAGTCATTTTGTATCTTCCTGGCAGCAATTCTTTCAATATATGAAAATCATGATTCATTTATTTCTACATGGTGTTCTCTTGGTTGTTTGTGAAGCTGTTTGTTTTCTTCCCCAGTTCTACCTGGGGACAGGTGAAATGAATTAGCTTTGCATTTTCTGCAAATGGACTTTAATTATTCAATGGTTACAGTCATGCCCTTCCATTTACATTCATTTTTATCTAATCTTATTCTTTCCTCTGGATTTTATCCATAAAACAGATAAAGCAGACTTCTTTAAGAAGACAAATCAAAGGTTAGTCCTGGAAGTGTCCTGCTCTGGTGTGAAGGAGCAACAGACATCGAGGCAAAAATGGTCTCCACTGTTGACCCTACACACTTGCTTGTAATT